CTTCCCACACATTCGACCTTTCCATCCATACATACATGGGGGAGAACAGAGCCCTAGAAGCAGACAGACTGCGCCCAGGGCCATGCACCCTTTCCTGTATAGATATACAGTATATATTCCAGATGTGCAGGAAGACCCTACAGCCGCTGCCTGTGGTTAATTTTTTACAGGCTGCTGGCCGAGGCTGTACAGAGCACCTATGACTCCCGGGCTCATAAACACACACATGCGCAGCCCGCTGTGGCCATGTGAATGAGCCCTTAAAGGGAATGTACATTCTTATCAGTGTTACGTTCTGATATATAATGTATGTCCTGGTCAGGTCACTATCTGCATGTTCTCCCTGTGCTTGCGTGGATCTCCTCCGGGTACTCCGGTTTCCTCCCACACTCCGAAGGCATGCTGGAAGGTTATTTGGCACCCGTCTAAATTGGCCCTTGTATGTATGCATGTGTGATAGGGACCTTGTAAGCTCCTTGAGGGCAGGGACTGATGGGAATGTGCTCTATGTAAATTGTAGGCGCTATATAAATACCTGTAGTAATAATAATAATAATAAAAAATAAATATGTGCTGAATTACTATTCAGCTTGATGCAAACAACCGGCTCAATATGTATGTATGTAACTCGATGGACCCGTGTCTTTATTCAACCGTAACAACTATGTCACTATGTATGATTGTTTGAAAAACTTTGTTTGCATGTACAATTTGTAGTTATATATGTACATAAAGGCAACCATATCTGCACATTACAGTCACAGGCTGTGCTTCCTGCTTTTCAGCGTTACATAGTAGTTCTGCTTTACTGCTTCTTTTCACAATGCATGTCTATGAGTCGACTGAAAACAATGCACTCCCATGGGGCTGAACGGTAATCTTATGTTATCTAATAATTGTTAAGTAGGGTGATATTACTTAGTCTCTGAGCGCTCCCTCAGGTGGCTTATCATCAAATCTCTATATTTAAAGTGTATGTATAGCACAAATGCCTCTAAAAAAGCCTGTAAAAGCCATGTCCCCCCCTGGAGGCTTTATAGAGCTGTATGGGATTGGCAGGATTGAGAGCAAATTCCGGTGTGTTGCATGCAAATGTGTTGACAAGGAACATGCTGACAGCAGGAGAGAGCAAAGTGAGCAGGCAGATGACATCACTGTCTAGTCAGCAGGATGGGGGTGGAGAGAGGACATCGCTGTGGGTGGTGTCATCCATCTAGCTGTAAGGTAGGGCTGTATCAATTTTAGCACTGGAAGGACAGACATACAAATTATTTTCCATATCAATATATGGAATGTATTTATTTTTTCTTATATTTATTCATTTTGTTTATACATTAGTGTTTAGCTTTCAGCTTTTACTTACATTACCTCTATAACAATAATAGTCATCACTTCTTTATTTGGCAAAAGTGCCACTGTCCCATTTCTCCATCTGATCCCGACCTTACACCGCACCATACAAAACATTAATTTGTAGAACGTAGAAAAGCCCGACGACAAACGTCTCCCGCGTTCCCGCAGCTTCTAAGTAGGTCAACAATTTAATTACCAGAGAAATCCGCCAATTCATTACATCGGTAAAACGAGGGAGAGAGGACGGCGTTCCGATTTAAGCCTGTTGATTTATTGCCCGACATTGTGTTGGGTGATGTCAGCGACTCTGCAGCTGTCTGCCAGAATATTAGCCGGGGAGACGCGCGCCCTTGGACATTGCTGGTTCAGCTGCGTGTCTGGGTGTTTTTAGAATCAGGAGGTTCTGCGTTGTCTCCTTTTGTGGTGTTTAGGCAGTTTGTACACCTGCAGCCCTGCCCGGCTCCCATGCCCTTCCCATTCCATCAGCAAGCTCTTTATTGCACATTCCTCTGGTGATGAACAGGAGATTGTGTCGGCACAGATGTCACCGGCTCTAAAATAACGTCAGTGAAAAAAAGTTTGGAGAGAGAAAAAGAAAGGAAAAGAGAAATAGAGAAAGATAGAAAAAGAAAGGAAAAGAGAGAGAGAGAGAAAAGGAAAGGAAAAGAGAAAGAGAGGAAAAGAAAGGAAAAGAGAAAGAGAGAAAAAGAAAGGAAAATAAAGAGAGAGAGAAAGAAAGGAAGAGAGAGAGAAAGAAAGGAAGAGAGAGAAAAAGAAAGGAAAATAGAAAGAGAGAAAAAGAAAGGAAAAGAGAGAGAGAAAAAGAAAGGAAAAGAGAGAGAGAGAGAGAGAAAGAAAGGAAAAGAGAGAAAAAGAAAGGAAAAGAGAAAGAGAGAAAAAGAAAGGAAGAGAGAGAAAAAGAAAGGAAAAGAGAAAGAGAGAAAAAGAAAGGAAAAGAGAGAGAGAAAAAGAAAGGAAAAGAGAGAGATAGAGAAAAAGAAAGGAAAAGAGAAAGAGAGAAAAAGAAAGGAAAAGAGAGAGAGAGAAAAAAAAATAAAGGAAAAAAGAAAGAGAGAGAAAAAGAAAGGAAGAGAGAGAAAAAGAAAGGAAGAGAGAGAAAAAGAAAGGAAAAGAGAAATAGAGAAAGAGAGAAAAGGAAAAGAGAGAGAGAGAGAAAAATAAAGGAAAAGAGAAAGAGAGAAAAACAAAGGAAAACAAAGAGAGAGAAAAAGAAAGGAAGAGAGAGAAAAAGAGAGGAAGAGAGAGAAAAAGAAAGGAAAAGAGAAATAGAGAAAGGGAAAAGAGAGAGAGAGAAAAAGAAAGCAAAAGAGAGAGAGAGAGAGAGAGAGAGAGAGAGAGAGAGAGAGAAAGAAAGGAAAAGAGAAAGAGAGAAAAAGAAAGGAAAAGAAAGAGAGAGAAAAAGAAAGGAAAAGAAAGAGAGAGAAAAAGAAAGGAAGAGAGAGAAAAAGAAAGGAAGAGAGAGAAAAAGAAAGGAAGAGAGGGAAAAAGAAAGGAAGAGAGAAAAAGAACGGAAAAGAAAGAGAGAAAAAGAAAGGAAGAGAGAGAAAAAGAAAGGAAGAGATAGAAAAAGAAAGGAAAAGAAAATAGAGAAAGATTAAAAGAAAGGAAGAGAGAGAGATAGAGAAAGGAGAAAGATAGAGAGAGAACGAGAGAGAAATAGAGGGAAAGAGAGGAATAGCGAGAGAGAATGAAAGAAAAAGAACAAAAGACAGAGAAAGAAAGAGAGAAAAATAAAGAAAGAGATAAAGTAAGGGAGAGAACGAGAGTGTGAAATAGAAAAGAGAGAGAGAAAGAAAGGTAGAGAGAAATAGAGAAAGAAAAAAAGAGAGAACGAGAGAGGAAGAGCGAGAGATAAAGAGATAAGGTAAGGGAGGGAGCAAGAAAGAAAGAGGAAGGAAGAAAGAAAAAAAGAGAGACAGAGAAAGAAAGAGAGAGAGAAATAAAGAAAAAGATAAAGTAAGGATTAGAAAGAGAGCATGAAAAGAGAGAGAGAGAAAAAGAAAGGAAGAGAGAAATAGAGAGAGGAAGAGAGAGAAATAGAGAAAGAATAGACGAGAGAGAAAGAAAGGAAGAGAAGAAAATAGGGAAAGAATGGAAGAGAAAGAGAGAAAGAAAGAGATGGAGGGAGACCATAATGCCTATCGTGTGACTTAAAAAAATTGCAACTGCCACCATTTATACATCGGTTGAAACAAGATACAAGTCTATGGAGTTCAAGGTAGAGAATTCGAGCGCAGCCTATTGTATTATACAGGATCTTTGCATTTGGAAAATACACATGTAATGTATCTAATGTATCAATGTAATGTATCCAATAAAATGTGGAGGTTTTGAAGTAAGCTTCAGGCCTAAAATGTACATTTTAATGTGTGTGCAAAAAATGGGAAAAAGTTTCTGGCAGCAGAAGTGTTAGACGGGAATTACAGTCACCATAAAAAGGGCCGGTAAGGCTGGGCTCACATCTCCATGGTACGGTAAAGCAGGTGGCATGCGCTGGTGAGCTGTGGTGCCATTTAATATAAATGACACTGTCCTGTGCACTAAGGCAATGCAATTGAGCTGCAACATGGTGCAACACGTAGAAACACACTACCCTGCACTGCGTTCCAATAACGCCAAGTTGCCTTGGCTTCCTTCCTTCCTTTCTTTCCATTTTGTCTATATAAAAGAGGAGCACACATGGATACACAGAGCAAGATAGCCAACATCATCTACTGTTGTATGTCCTGTATTAAGGTTTCACTCACAGTATCACAATACCTTTTGTTGTTTTCTTCCTTTTGGTTTGCTAAATATACCATTGAATGCATTTTGTTATGCTCAATAGGTGCATATAAGTTTGTAGTGGTCACATGATGCTCGCCCTTCTGGCCGCCAGTACGCACGTGCATAAACGCGCACATTATACATGGAAATTCGCACAATACACACTGGCTACGTGCCCCAGAGCCTGGGATCTGAGTGGAAATGAACCGATGCAGAGGTACATTATTCTCAATCATAGTCCTGGGGACAATATCCCCAGGCATCTGATGACAGACAAGGCAGCGCCACCCAGTGGGACCAGGGAGCAAATTGCTCCAAAATTATGCACGTCCACTCCAACATCAGAAGCAGAGAGAGGTGAGCAATGGGGGCGGCATCAGGTAAGTAATACAGCTTTATTTGAGTCCCCTAGACATAACCAAGCCCCACAGCACGGGTATGCTTCAGCTTAGCAAAGGTTGTAGGGCAAAAAAGTTATTCTCCGCTCTAAAGCCCTTTATGCCATGTCACCCCTTTGGCTGGCTGGGTGCAGAAGCCAAGTAGGGGCTTACCCTCGCCCCAAGCTGCCAGTAGATCCAAAAGAAAGAAGCCTGTGACACACTTCAGAATCAAACGCAAGTGAAGCTTTATTATTTCACAAAAGCAACAAAAGCTCCTCCTGGGAGGAGACCCAAAGCAGGGTTTGGTGTTGCTCGCCCTCCACCTATATTGGATTTTATGATGTGCCTCTGGCTTCCTTCTGGTGTCTCCAGGGGTAAGGGTCTGGTTGGAATAGAGGACACCCATATGAGCTTGTTGGATATCCAAAACCATGGGGATTATCTCATTCATCTAATCCTAGTATTTCTTTTTCTTCACAGGGGACCTCTGAGGGAAATGCTGACGCTCAATATCAGGTCCGACTTTCTCTGTTTGATTTCCCTTACCACCATTTCTTTGGAAGGACTTGGAAAAGTTCAGTTAAGCCACTGAAAACTCTCTCGGGTCAGACATCAAAAGTCTTCTTCAATGAGGTGAGCGAATGGAGCAACAAGAGTCATACCGGAGTGCCTTGTGATAAAGCGCCATTAGGCGTTCTTTGCCACCTGCTGTATTTGTGCTTGGTTTCATAAAACCTGCACCGTGTTGCACGCTGTGGACTGTCCAATCTGTTTCTTATAGCAGAGTAGGCAGTATTGGCAGGTTTGAAGTGGGAAGAGCGAGTGCAACATGTAGACAATCTAAACACATAGCAAGGCACCAGCACGAAGGTAAATGTTGGACCCTTAGGAATGGGGTCATGGAGGTCAAAGTTAAGAGCAAGCCCCTGCTTCTTCATTCACCCAGCAATGACTCCATAGAGCTCCCCTTGCTGTACCCTACTGGCAGAGTCTCAGAAGCTTAGCTTACCCTGCTTTCCCCTTCGAGTAGGGACTCAGCAGCTCAGCTCACCCTGTTCCCCATTCAAGGCTTGTTCATACCATGTCCAGACAGGGACGTAACTAGAAATCACAGGGCCCCATAGCAAAATCTTGTATGGGGCCATGTGATTTCTAGGTAAGTCCACCTGATAACCCAAACAGCCCACCTGAGGGTGACCCTGCAGAGCCCACCATAGAGTCTCTATGGTGAGCTCTGCAGGGTCTCAGGTGGGCGGTCAAGCCCTCTTACCTGTCGGGCCGATCCCCTGTCCGCCTCCTTCTCCTCCACGATCGCTTGCGGGCCCGTCTCCTCCATCACTGGGCCCCACATAATCCCTATGTATCCCTATGGTATTTCTGGGCTCTGTTCACAACAGTGCAGTCCGTTCCGGTCCAGACAAAAAAATAAAAAATACTGCCTGTCTCATTTTCTCTGGTCTGGAATGCATGGGAACGCATCACGAACGCATACAAACACACTGGAACACTGTCTGCACACTGGACTGCACCTGAAAGCCCATTTTAAGCTAAAAAAAATCTGGATCAGAAAAAATCTGCGGTTTTGTTTTTGTTCACAGCTGAAATGAATCCCAGTGTATTTATATGGTATTTCTGGGCTCTGTTCACACCAGTGCAGTCAGTTCCGGTGCAGGATGAAAAATGCTGCATGCAATTTCTTTTTCTGATCTGGAACGCACCAAAACGCATGTAAACACATAAAAATGCATGCAAATGCACTGGACCGCACTGGACCACACCTGAAAGCCCATTTTAAGGTAAAACAAAAAAAGGCACCGCAACGCATCACAAATGCCTGGACATGGTGTGAGATAGCCCTCAAACACTGGTTCTGCATTAGGTATTAGAAGGCTGGAAGTCTTCTATCATAGAGCAGGAGTTCTAGGAGGAAAATCTGAGCTGCCGAAGAGAACGACTTGGAACACATGGGTGGTTCTGCTGTAATCTTTGAGGATGAATTGCTCCATAGCTACAGAGGTTAGTGAAGGCTTGTTTCAAAGTTTGTTTATTGCTTGTTTAGCGCAGTGGTTCTCAACCTCTGTAACCTCAGGACCCACATTTGTCCTCGGTCATTAAGTCGCGACCCAAGTTGCACTGCCATTGAAGGCACGACAGTGTGGGCTTCTGTGCTGGAGCTCCTTCCATATGTGCATTGCTTGTACAGCTCCCATGCATGCCCTGTAGAGGTGCCGGGAGCCAGAATGTGATGTCACTCCAGTCCAGGCACCTCTACAAGACATGTGAGGGAGCTGTAAGCAATGTACGTATGGATCGAGCTCCCTCGCGACCACCCCACCTCAAGTCGACACTTGGGCAGCATACTTTGAATGGCTGCTCGGTGTAAGAATGGACGGTGCCGCGCTTGGGAGAGGCTGGGGAGCCTCTCACCTAGAAAAGTGGAAGGCATGCGGCGACCCACTGAACACGGGGTCACGACCCACCACTTGAGAACCAAGGGTTTAGAGTATGTAGATAATTAAATGTCCATAGCCTGGCCACAAGTTCACTTAAAAGTTCTTAAGTAAATGCCCTGCACAAGAACAGACACTACAAGTTTCCTGCTATTACCTTTATTAGCCAGGAACCCTTCTCTGTGCACTCCTGTGATCCGGCTTTAACTTAGTAGTCTATGGCTTGACCTTCCTGACTTCAGATCTAAGGATTTCTCACCCATTACCGCTCTGTCTAGTGAGACCACCCTTGACCACTGAAGAACTTGTATTAAACAAGAGGGTGGCAGGTGAGTAGGCAATAGCAAAATTACACCAGTTTTAGGGGCGTGCATATGGTGGTGGGGGGTGTGTGGCGTTTGGATAGTTAACGTAAAGACCTTGTGGTTTCTGTACTTAGCCAAGACATTTATTTTTAAAAGTTTATTTTCAAAAGTTTAAATATCTGACAGGTTCACTTTAAGCAAACTTGCTGGCGGATATGTCATTTTCTAGCATATCCCCTCACCTCCAGAGAGAACGCTTGTACATCTCTCTTCCACTGACAGGTATACTGTGCACTTCTGCCCTCTGCCATTCACGGCTGTCAAGCCGTCCCATCATTATTGAAAGAAAAGGACACTGACGGCGCATTGTCCCTTCAGCAAAAGAACAGATGGGACCAGTTCATACCTAATTTCAGTTGCAAGGGTGTGAAGGGTTAAACTCACTCAGGCTGATTAGAAGCAGAAGGGTAATTGGGGCTTTATCCACTGATGGGACTTCAAAATGTGGAAAATCAAAATAAAGTACAATGGCATTTAGGAATTTCGCTTTATACAACTTAGCACTGTTCCTTTCTTATATTCTACCTGAGCTCACAATTTATCACTGTGGACACTAGAGGGCAGGCACGCTCCACAAGTCGCAGCTTGAATGTTATGGCGGAATTAATAGCATATCTACAGCTCTGCAGTTCCCAGTCATTGCACTGACACAATTATAATTC